AACATACAATTTACCTGTCTGCCATTGTGTACATTGGCCACACAGATGTCCTGGATTTTTGCACACAACAAAGGAATGTGAAAACGACACTGAAAGCGGTTTCGACAGAACGGGATAATCGCGTTTATGCATGTCTCGGTGGATTCGGTGTTGTTTGTAGTGCAGCTTACCGCTGATCAATAATGCGCTTCCGTGAGCATCGCAACCGTTCTTACACAACAGACCGGGAGCAATTCACTCTCTTGACCATTGTTAGTAAGCCATGCCAATAATCAATTTACTTGCAATGGAAATGTTTGTGATAACTGACAAAGAGCACTGGACAGTTGTTTCGTCCTGTTTGGGACTCGCCAGCGGTGCGCACTTTTTGTATCCCTGACTTGAACCGCGAACATTCGGGTTGGGACTTCAAACCCTTAGCCTTTAATTTAATCGTTTTGAAAATACATATGAAAGCGAACCATATTGTACAAGATTTCCACGTGCATATGCATGTGTGTGAGCGTGTGTGCGTGTGCAGCGGTCCCTCTTCGACTGGATGAGAGTGACCAGATGCGAACAGATAAATGACCCACACACACACACACATCGTTTCAATCTGAGGAACATGTATGAACCGAATGTATCGGTTCTCGATGCACATTAAAGCTTCTTCCTCGGGGGTAGCAAGAATGTGGTTGATGCGGCGAGGATGAATATAAAACAAACAGAGAATGAACCGAAACAAATTTGAGTACGGATCTCACATAGTTCAAACGACATTCTAACTAACGTGGTTGTCAGAACGGGCATGGAAACCGGGATGACCTGCATTCGGTCACCAGAATAACACCGTTCAATACCGGTCACCTATATGCTGTGTATCGAGCACAAGCGACNGAATCCCAAAACGGATCATCGCAGATTGAGGACATGACCGCGTCCCGTGACTGTGTTCGGGTGACGTTGTCAAGCCACCGATTGCATCAATACTCCCATGTTCAACTGCGGCTTCTTGTTGGGCACCTGTACCGGATTGTTTCAACCGTAACGCATGTCCTCAATCTGTTTGCGTGTTGAATTCACGGTACACAAGTTGTTGATCCGCAGCGAACAGCGAATAACGTTATTGAAAGGAACCAGTTGATGGTGAAAAATCCCGATGAAATTTGTCATTTAATCACAAATCACCAATAAATCGATCGCATCATTGCAAATAATGATGATACTGCACAAAAGAAAATACTTTTTCTTTTTCAAAGTTGATCACATGGTGAAGGAATAATATTCATTTTAAAAATGATTGTTAGTCTGCGATTTTGCTGTTTTTTTTATTACGTTCAAAGTGAGTTTTAACCAAAAGGGCTAAACCTCATTCTCAAAGACATTGTATTAAGGGGAGGAGGCAGGGGAGGGGGGAGCGAATTTAAGGTGTCCTGATATCAAGCTGAGATAAGCATCAAATCATGTCATATGTTATGTTGAATCCGGCTCATGTGAAATTGTGATACGAACGTCTTATCAGTACATAGAAGGAATAAAGAAACAGTCTGAACGGCCAGATGTCTGCCTGTCTGTTCAAACCCCCCGAAAAGAAATGTCGCATAGAAATCATTATAATCATTGATGATTGTCATGAAACCTTTCCAAGTCTATCCAAAACGATAACGAGAAATGTAGTCCAATTCCGTGTAATAGCACTTTGAATCGACAGCACTAACATGTTAGCCGGTCAACTGAAACAATATTGGTCAAATACATTCTTGGATGAGTTATTGACTAAGAACATCCCTAATTGGTATCTGACTCTTCTACCGGTTTGGCCAAAATACTTGCGGTGCAGTCTTCCGTCGCACACGATGCATAGCTTGCTTTACTGCTTTACTACCAACAAACTGAACAGTCTGGCAATCGCTTGGCTACGTTCACCATTTATACTCACTATATATGCTATCGGTTCATTGAGCTGATGATCAAATGATTCCGGATACGAGAGTGGTGGCTAGACCCCGGTTACCACAGAAAAAGTTGATTCAGTGACACTTGAATTCGCACGACCCAGTCACGCGCGATATACACTGAGGTTTTAATTGCCAGCCCGTGTTCGGACGGATCTGATTGCTTCCTCATCGATCTGTTTCGAATCTATAAGCACGCGTGTGTGTGTGACAAGTGAACCACTCGATAGGTTTCGGCGATTTTTCTGAGGTGGAGTGGGATAGGGGATGGTTGGGCACACATCAGGAAAAGCCGAGAAATTCTGACGAAATGCAAAGAGAAATATAAAAGTTCTTCCGGTTTTGCCACCCGGATGATTTCCGTATGGGAACTCCCCCCCCCCCCCCCCNCCCCCTCCCTATCCTTGGTTCTAGTGTTAAACTGATAATGTGGAAATCTTAAATTAAAAAAACGTATTTTGCAAGAGACAAGTTCGTGAGTGATCGTAAATACGGAAAAGGAAGAGTGATTCACAATTTGGAGGATGGTGAGAAAAGGGAACATCGAAAAATGGATCGTTGACAGAAACCTGATGCAGTTGGCTGGCCTTCTAAACGCAAGGGGAACGAGAACCGAGTATGAAAGAACAGTAACCAAATTTACCATCACGAAGAAAGTAACTGTCCGGGTGATAATAAAATGACTGCGGCATATTCGTGGAAAAGGATAAATTGTTGATTTATTTATATGATGAATTCGTCGTGTAAATGAGGCGTGAGCTGAAAAGCTGGGAAGCACTGCACCGCTGTTTCGATCTGGTTGGGTACATCGGCAGTGCGAATCCCTCGACACAACCGGGGATCGAACCCGGGACCTCACAGATGAAACGCAAGCATACTACCCACCCGGCTACCGGACAGCTGATCTGACCGTTTTTCATTTTCCATTTCTCATTTTCTCATTTCGAATTTACACGATATAGCACAACCCGTCTATGCGGGCTTGTTGCGAGTATCGGCCTTCGCTCATCTCGACAATAGTCTCCAAGGCATATAACGTGGTTGGAAACGTTCACAATCTGATCATTCATTGTATATACAATCGTCGATTTGCTGGATATTTAACCTGGTCAACAAGAGGGAGAGAAAAAGGCAGGACGCGAAGTGCCAATTCGCGCATGTTTGGAGTATTCAAACTTTGGATAGATTAAAAGAAGCATGTGAACTCAAATAAAGAAGTTTCAGGAGTGCGATAGGAAATTAAATTCTCTAGTGGTGTGAGGCAAATTAAAATTCCAATGAAGACTAACAGAAAGAGAAATTTATGAATAAACCCGGGGGAAAGAGAAAATGTGTGGAACGAGCGAGAATTAAGTTGTAATTCAGTTTTAGGATAATAATTAACAAATTTAAGAGAAATTCCGGGCGTATTGAAACAGACCATGTTGGTGGTGAAATCCCTTTGCGGAGATAGATTCAATGTAGGAGGCCAGTGATGCACTTCTGTGCGCGTGTTGACAACAGGGGTAATCGGATCGCGGTTCTTGAATGCGAGTACGTGACTAGGACTACCACTTCTCTCGAATCTAGTGGGATGCACTAGGATCCCAACTGGAGAAATGTATGCTATCTAAGTACTCAATGCATTAACAAATTGAGAAGGACAAATGTTCACACTCCCGATTACACTGTCATCATCATCATCATTATCATCACCCGAATCATTGTTATTATTATACAAATGGAAATTATCCCTGAAGCCAATTGGTTTTGTACGGAAGTAAATGAACCACATGTCCCGGACGCATAGAACACACGTGTGTTCCCTCCTCGGATTATGGAGTTTAAAATACTTATATACTACCTCATCACTATATTGGGTTCGTGTAGAGATTTAAACTTCGGTCAAGCAATTTATGTGACTCATTCAATCCAACTATGGAACCGTCATGAATTTTTGTGCTATCGATGCACCGATAGGGATGGGGGTGGGGCAGTAATTAAAGCTTTCGCATCATCCATATACATTAACCGATCTAAAATCGATTTCGTTCAGTCCAAGTGCAGTATGGTAATGGTCAGATAATCGTCCGATTTCGATCTATTGGTTTAATTCCTTTCTCACTGTGATTACTCTGACGAGAATCAAAACTTGTTGGCTTGTTGATCAACGATTTGCAATTATTCTTTCCATTTGTTTTCTGTGCCTAAAGTCAGACGGTATGCCATCTCAGCGATAGTCATCCATTCAGTTCATCTGTGTATTGCCTTGGGTTTTTTTCAGTTGGTCATGGACCGATCGATCGGATCGTTTGAAGTGACTGATGGACGACTATGGCCTATGTTTCTTGTTGTTTCAAAGGTACGACATTGTTCGAGCAGTGCGGGTTACCATCACATCGACCTGGAGGCCGTGTATTCCAGTTCGTCCACAGTTGTCTGACCTGTCTACGTCTTCGTGTTCTCCGGATAGTCCGACCTTCGACCAGCATCCTCTTTCTGTGCAATAATGTATTTGATAAAAAGAACGAAACCGCTAATCTTGTGGATCTTTATCGGTCGTGCGTTTCGCTCGCCCCCGAACGAAGCATGCTAGTCCACTGCTCCACTTGACTCGCATGTGCGCGTCATGCGCAAGTGAAGTAATATCAACCAATCAGTAAACGACCATATACCTACTTCAAATTGATTGGCTCCCAGCCCCGTTTATTTTCACGGGGGCGGCGAACACGCGTGCATATGACCCAATCCACATCGTGTGCGCATCGACCTAACTGCGATTGGTCAAAACGGGTCATTCATTAATGGAAAACCTGTTGAACCGGCTTCGCACTGTCCACAAGATCCGCTAGCTTCTGACTGTCGGAAATGTGGCCCGAATCATACTCTTACAGACTGAACACGATGCACAGAAAAACTCCAATTTGTTTCGATCCTGTCGCACAACCAGGTGTTGACAATCACACCAATTTCGACCACGTTCGATCAGCCGAGAGAATATACTCGACGGGAAGTCATTCTGCTCCATATACATATGGGATGAATTCGACAGCCCCCTCCTTGCCAAATTTACCGTGTCAAGGTATGCAAGTGAATGAAAACCATCAGCTCAGTTATTCAAATCTATCCGGATCCGCAGTGTCCGATTCATATTCACCACAAGTTACCAGAGGAATAACTTCGGGATCAATGCTCGTGGGATCTGATCGTCTGCCCGCCTATTGTTCAATTCCACTGACAAACGAGCCGACAACGTTCAATCGGAATGCATCCTGCCAGTCACCTTTGTCCTCAGAAAGTGCATTACCCAGTCCCAACCGAATGCCTGACTTAGTGCGCATATCCACAATCAGTCGAGCATCTGTAGACCCAAAAACAGCAGATCATAATATCTCTTGTCCGGAGCCCTATGTCACCGGATCATCACTGTCTCACTGCTCGTCCAATGAGTCCTCTAGTTCCAGATCGTCCGAGGTGGACGATATTGGTCCGAAGGATTTACTGTCAGCCAGTGATAATCGACTCAAATCCGAACCGGGGAACGTTGCAAGTGAGCCTGAAACAAGCGATTCGGAATCACAATCGGACGATGCTCAACACACGTGCCAAGTAAGCATCCGGGAATGGGTTTGATTAGAAGAACATATTCTTACTCCCTCTCCTTTATAGTGTGACTAGAAAGAACGACGTAGACATGTTGCACACGAATTTTCGAGAACCATGAACACGTTTGGCAGTGATAAAGTCGATATATAGGCTGGGATAAAGCTATGCGGTGTATAGTGTGTACTAACGCTGGTGTGCAAAAAGGTTCTGAGGATCAGCTACGATTACCCAAGGGCATCGGATTATCTCCCTCCCATTGTCAGGGTTCGAATCCGAATGATCATTTTGGCATCCCCATCTGATGACATCTAACGAAAACGAAATAATACGATAGTTTACTGGGAAAGCTTTTCATTGGAGAGCAACATCTGAACTCTATAACGAAGACGTAATGATAAACATTCATTTTTGAACGGTATCCAGTTTACGCTTAAATTTATCCTATGTGTGAGAAGCTTTCCAATTTGCGTCCTCGGTATCTACCATAGGATTGAATATAAGACCCAATGCGTATCGTTTTTTCCCCACGATTCGGGGATAATTATGAATACAGTTTGTTCTTGATATTCAGTGCCCATTTGCAGAAAATCGAATTCCCAGTACCTTTCACATTCTATTGAATGATGTATCACACAATATAGAGAGGGTGCTCAACTGTACAGACAGATAAGCACCGGATCAAACTGGATACCCGTTACATGATCTCAAGAATTGAATTGGCACGACACGTAGTAGGATCGTATTGATTCCATATTCCGCGTTCCGGAATGTGATCGAACCCTTACGCGATAGTTCTGCCATGTCAAGCGTAGGCAATCAGTAGAATGGGTCATACACTTGCTTACATTCGGTCTGTGAGATCCTGGATTCGATCCCCACAGTCAGTGCTAGATTCACACTACAGATAATACCATAATACCATCAACTCAAGCCATACGCATATCAATATTTTTTTTGTTCTATTCCCTTAATAGACTACTGCTGTTGCCCCCAGAAACATAATAATTTGATTCCAAATTTCATGATGCCCAGCAATCCAAGTACGCATCGCGTGTTGGGTTATTGAATTGCCAGACATTAGTATATTAAACTGTGAATTTGCCTCCTTGAGAGTCCTTAATGGATTGACAGATAATGACAAAACAAACACTATTTTTTATTCACCGAGTTTCATCTGTTGCGTATGCACAGCCTGGTTAGCAGATAATGACGGACTCCAATAGGATTTAGACAAACAGGTTCGTATTTTTGATCAAGTATTAAGAGTGGTACAAATCAATTGAGATTATCCAATCCCATAAAGAAATAAATGGCCTGTGGGATTGGTTATGTTGATACGAACGGGAAGGAACTGCAAAGGGCGGTGTCGATCACGACGACGACGATGACGATAACTCTGTCCCATCTGATGGTCACACAATGGAAGCGAGCATTTCTGTTTCCGGAACAAATGCAATACCACTGGGGGGGGAGGTAGTGACAAGTAATGATGCCTGTACCTGACAAAAGAGTCGAGAAAGTAGTAGTATCATTGGGAGAAATAACCAATGTTTCTAGGTTTCTCCAGTTTCGCATTTGCTTTTCCACTGTATGTTGCTGGCTAGAACAGGCTCAGCAGTAGAGTTCAGAAAATACGGATAGCATTTTCTATTCTCCTGATGATAATCTACCATCTGATCTCCGGTCTATCGAATTCGGTTAACTGTGTATTCCCGGTAGCGAAGTCAAGAAATGCTTTATGCACCCAAAGGGTGAATTCACAGCAATTTACAAAAATGTGTACAATGGATACATAAAACAAATTGCAATCAAGAACAACAAGAAAAACAAAATAATAGCAAATAAACTGGATACTGTGGTTAATGAAAAAAACTAATGCAAGAGCCTTCGCCTGAGGTGCGTGATAACTGTTTTACTATTAACCAATAACTGAACAAAGTATGGAATTACACTGTTTCTCTGTTTGGAAGTACGCACAGGAAGGAATTGATATTTGGAGCACGTTCGGGGATTCGACGGGGCTTTCACAGCAGTGCAGACAGTGCCATTGGTCACGTATTACACTGTCAACAAAGGTGTCATAAGCGTAAAAATTCTTGCAAGTAACAAAAACAATTCTATCANTAAACAGTCCTGATTGTGAACGTTAAAATCTCCCAAGATGGTAACATGGCAGTTGGGGTCGGCAGTCAACAAATGTTCAATGTTCGAAGGTAGAAAATCAAAGATGGTAGAATCGCCGCTATTGGGGGAACGACGAAGAACACAAAAGTAATGATTAAAGGAAGGAAGCCGGAGTTTCAGCCACAACAGCTGAAATTCACGATTGAAAAAATCAAGATTTAGGTTCCTGGAGGCGGTGACTCATTGGTGAATAAAGGCGCGGACACCAGCTTTGAGTAGAAAGGAGGAATGGAGAGTTTGGTTAGGGAATTGAAAGTGGGTGGTGTCTGACGAGGGGGAGATTTGTGTTTCGGTCAGAAAAAGGGCTAGCGGAGAAGAATGGAGAAAATGGTTTACAGAATCAATATTGCGGTTCAGTC